CCCCAAAACCCCAAAACCCCAAAACCCCTTCAAAATAAGATCAAACTTTAAGGAAAGAAATTATAATTAATTCAATTTAAATATGATGAAAAGATAGTCTACGATAGAGGAGGAAAAGACTCTTAAACTCTAAAAAAGAGAATCCTCTGCTGACAATAACAATAAGTTTAGATCCACAAACATGACTGAAAAGAGAAATGAGGAGTTATACTTAACTAAGAAGAAGTACAATGATAATGATCAGGGTGATGATTTGATTGAGAAGTGCATGGTAAGTTGGCCAAACAAATACAGTTTAGAGTAAATTAAGAAACTTCATGCGTTTGCTTGGTCTTTTGGATCAAACACAAAGGGAGAACTTGGTGTTGGTCACTATAATGAAGTTCTCATGCCAGAGAGAGTAAGAGGACTGCCTAAAATGAAGGTAGTTCATCTTTCTAGTGGAGCTAAACATTCTGGTGCTGTAACAGAAGATGGAAAACTTTGGATGTGTGGATCAAACCTTCATGATAAGCTTGGATTGGAAGGCATTACTACAGGATCCAAAAAGACTTTCAAACCAGTTGAGCTATTGAATTAGGTTAGAATTAAATAAGTAGCATGTGGAGACTATCACACACTTGCCATGACAGATTAAGGACAGGTATTTGTTTGGGGAGGCAGTTTACATAATGTAAAATTATTTGAAAATAATAAGATTTTCTTAGAAAAGAGGAGATAGAAGTACAGATAGAAAGGATAATTAAAAATATAGGCCAGTCATGCTGAGTACTCTTTAAAATAAGAGAATTGTATAGATAGGATGTGGGGATTTTCATTCACTTGCTCTAGAGGATAATGGTACTATATATTCTTGGGGAGTAGGCGAGAAAGGAGAATGTGGACATGGAAAGTTTGAAGATGTTGAAGTCCCTACTAAGATCAGATTCTTTGAAGGTAAAAAGATTGTACTGATTGAGGTTGGAAATCATCATACCTTAGCTTTAACTTAAGATAATCAAATCTATGCTTGGGGAGATGGAAGATATGGTCAGTGTGGTTTTGGAGAATTTGAGAATACTGCTATTCCTTAACTTGTGAATTTCCCTAGTTAGAGCAATAGCTAAGTAAGTATATTCTACTTTTTTAATTATTTTAGTTCTTTGATGATTCAGTGCATCAAGAAATATTAGAATTTTTCAAGGATCCGCCAAAAATAAAGCAGATGGCTGCAGGTGAATAACACTCATTAGTACTCACTACAAGTGGCTAAATATTTTCGTTTGGATATAATCAGCAAGGATAACTTGGTCATAATACAACTGAGAATTATTGTAGACCAAAGTTAGTTGAGGGAATGCTAAACCTCAAGGTAGTTTAAGTTGCAGCTGGTAGAAGTCATTCATTAGCTTTGACTAGTAAAAATGATGTCTATGCTTGTGGTAATGGCTAGAACGGACAATTAGGTCTTCCAGATAGGGAAGCTAGAAAAACTTTTACTCATGTTCTTTCTTTACTATCTGTAAATGCGATTAAACTCTATGCAGGGGGATTGCATTCATGGGCAGTGCTTGATGATGTCATGCCAAAGAAAGATGAATTTTCTAGGCTCAGAGACCCCAACTCAGGTGATGAAGATTCATTGTTGAATTCTGGAGATGAAAATAATTAATTTACTAGTTAACTAGATATTGGTGGAAAATCTTACATTTCAAATTCTAACTTCTTCCATGACTAGCTGAAGAACTCAAAGTTTGTAATTTAAGTAAATTATACGGACACAGCTTTAAGTCATAGATTTATAAGATTTGAGCTTAGTGAAAAAAATCTTGAAGTTGGAAAAGCAAAAGTTGAAGAATTTATTAGATTAATGTATAAGGATGAAAGTGGTACTATCTATCATAGATTGCAAGAAGATTAAGATATCTTAGGAGATAGAGGTCAAGTCTTGTCAAGCTCAACTGGAAAGTTCGGTAAATTCTTCACGCTTTAAATTGTAACTGATGTAACTAAGAATGAGGATACAGTTGATTAAAAGAGAGAACTAGCGAAGGGAAATTATGAATTTATTGACTAAGTCTATGATTTGTTTATAAGGCATACTTATGGAGTGGTAGGATTTTAGCCAACCAAAACCTCAATAGGAATGTAGGTTTATATGAGAGAATAGGATATTAACCAAAGTGATTATGAGAAAAAACTTTGCTATTGGGCTGTAGTATTCTCAAGATCATTGGCAGGATATTGTAGCAGTAGAGTTAAATATTTTGAACTTAGACCTTATAGCTATGCTCCAATTTGATTAATTGATATTTGAACTGTTATTGATTTTATTACAATTGCCCAATAAATAATGAATATGTATTGATGGGGTTTTGGGGTTTTGGGGTTTTGGGG